TCTCAAGCAGTCGGACTTCCTCGGGTACTCGCTCAAGGCGCTGGTGGAGGGGATCATACCGGCCATACGCACCTACGTCGACCTCTCCCCCGGCGAGTTCGACTCCTTCGCCGACATCCTGAAGCTCTACGAGGGCGGCATCAAGCTGCCCAACATCCCCGCCCTGGAGGAGATGCGCAAGCGCTTCCCGCTCGAGCTCGTCAAGGACCTCATACCCATGGGCGGCGACTACCTCCTCAAGCTCCCCAAGCCACAAGTCATCAAAGGTAGTACGTGCTTTGAATAAATGGTTACTCCATGTTTGTATGACTTTGCCATGCTAACTAATCGTGCACTTACGCCTAGAGGACGAGATAGCATGGATGACCGAGGAGGAGTTTGCAAGGGAGATTCTTGCCGGCGTCAACCCGATGATGATCACACGTGTCACGGTGAGTCTAACATCAAGTGATATATCATTTGTGGCATATAGCTTGTATTTTCTTAGTTAAATTTATGGCTAAACTAGGAGAGAAAAAATAGTGAGAAGTATGAACAAAACTCTAAATTAACGGTAAAAATTAATCCATTGCATTGCAGGAGTTTCCTCCCAAGAGTACTTTGGATCCAAGCCAGTACGGCGACCACACCAGCACCATCACTGAGGCGCATATCGGGAATAGCCTCGAGGGCCTCACCGCGCAGCAGGCAATGGCCAGCAACAGGCTCTACATCCTTGACCACCACGACAACATGATGCCATACCTCGTCAGGCTCAATAACCTCGACGACACCTTCCTCTATGCCACAAGGACTCTGTTCTTCCTGCGAGGCGACGGCACGCTGGCGCCAGTGGCCATCGAGCTGAGCACGCCTCTGCTCCAGGGCGGCCTCACCACCGCAAAGAGCACCGTCTACACTCCGGCGTCCACCGGCGTCGAGGCCTGGATATGGCAGCTCGCCAAGGCGTACGTCTGCGTCAATGACTACGGCTATCACCAGCTGGTCAGCCACTGACTCAACACGCACGCCGTGATGGAGCCCTTCATCTGTTGGCGAAGCCTCGACTTGCTGCGATCAACCGACGAGTTCTTTCGGACGGTACGCGTACGTACGAAGCTGAACCAAAGTTACTGGATCGATTCCTGAAGAAACTCCCGTACGCCAAGCTAGCGGCGACTCGCCGGAACGGCTGCGTACAACAGACTTCAGGAACTCACGTAGACGAGACAAGGACGCGAGAGACACGCTGGATTTGATTGCACAAAAGGCTCGTGTCGTGCCTTTGCTTTGTATTGATTTTTATCTCATATTACAACGTAGGGGTACAGTTATATTTATACTAGTACAAAGCTAGCTAACCCAAACCGAGTCGGTGACTGCTCCTAGTCCATACCGGACAGGACTTCTACTACGTGGTTGATTCCAACAATCACCCCCCCAACCACGATGTCCTCACTTCACAGCTTGGACGCCGATCCTTCCCCGCATCTCCGTGAACTTCTGTCGTCCCAAAGACTTGGTCAGGATATCTGCAAGCTGATCATCGGTGCAAATGTAGTTGACTTCAATCTTGCCTTCTTCTACGCAATCTCGTATGTAGTGATACCGTATATCAATGTGCTTACTTCTATCATGATGCACTGGATTCTTACATAGAGCAATCGTGGACTTGTTGTCAACATAAAGCACCACTCCTTCCGGTTCCTTGTCAGTGAGGTCACCGAGTAGCCTTTCTAGCCACACACCTTGACCTGCCGCGGTTGCAGCTGCAATATACTCCGCTTCACAGGATGATAATGCGACCACCTTCTGCTTTTGTGATAGCCAACTCACTATGCTTCTTCCCAAGAAATATGCCACGCCCGAGGTACTTTTACGGTCGTCAATATCTCCTGCCAAGTCGCTATCACTGTAGCCAAGTAGCTCCACCATCTCCTTCCGCTTCTCTCTCAAATAGACACAACCGAAGTTAGTTGTCCCTTTGATGTACCTGAGTATTTGTTTCACAGCTGCCCAATGTTCTGTCGTGGGTGCTTCCATGAAGCGACTCACTACGCCAACGGAATAGGCCAAGTCTGGTCGTGTATTCACAAGATACCTTAGGCTTCCGACCACACTTCTATAGTCCGTTGCATCAACCGCGGGTGCTTGGCTCCTTTTGCTAAGTTTAAGTCGAGGCTCCATTGGAACATGACTTGGATTGCAGTCCTCCATGCTACAGCTTTCAAGAATCTTCTTTGCATATGCCTCCTGGCATAACGTGATTCCCTCCGGCTTTTGCTGTACCTCGATCCCGAAATAGTAAGTCAAGAGCCCTAGATCACTCATCTTGAAAAGCTCCTTCATTTGTAGCTTGAATTTAGCAATCTCCTCCTCATCTGCTCCAGTTATCAAGAGATCATCAACATAGATGCCCACTAGGAGACGATCCTTGCCTTTACCTCGCTTGTACATAGCATGCTCCAGTGGACTTTTCTCAAAACCAAGAGAAACTAGTGTACGATCAAGCTTGATGTTCCACGCCCGAGGAGCTTGGCATAGCCCGTACAATGCCTTGTGTAGTTTCAACACCTTGTGCTCCTCTCCCTTTTTGATGTAACCCGGTGATTGCTTCACATACACTTCTTCTTTTAACTCCCCGTTCAAAAAAGCGGATTTTACATCCATGTGATGTAGCCTCCAAGATTCTTGAGCCGCGAGAGCTATAACTAGCCTCACCGATTCCATCCTTGTGACAGGAGCGAACACTTCCTCGAAGTCTACACCTTGCTCTTGCACGTATCCTTTGGCTACGAGCCTTGCCTTATGCTTCACCAAGTTTCCTTCGGCATCTTTCTTGACCTTGTACACCCACTTGAGCCCTATGATTTTATGGTCGTTGGGTGGATCCACGAGCTCCCATGTATTGTTGTCTCGGATCGATCCCAACTCCTCATCCATAGCACGACGCCAACACTCCTCCGTATTTGCATCTTCAAATTTCGTCGGTTCCTCGACGCTAAGTAGACACTGTCGTCCTCTTCTTTCAATTTTCACCGGATTTACTTTTGGAAGTGTTTCCTTTGGATATAAATCCACCACTGGTCGAAGACGTACTGGTGTCGGCGGACGTTCCCTCGTCTCCTGTTCATTCGAAGACGAAGAACTATCCTCTGAAGCTGCCTCACTTCCGATTTCTGGCGACTGAGGTTCTTCCGAGCTGGCCGCGTGTCCACTGGACGAATTAGACGTAGCTGGTCGTGCTTTTCCTGCACGTACAGTGGGCGTACCAGCCACAACTGGTGTTTCTTCACCATCACGTGGTTGGCTTTTTGGGCCAACCTCCACACCACGTGGGCTTCCCAGCCTAGTAGACGAGCCACCTGGGCTTTGAGGGGAAAAGCCTCCTGCTGTGCTTCGCCCAGCGCCTCCTGGCGTGTCATCGGGCGCACCTGCCGTTCCTTCTCGCGCGTGAGCGTGTGACGCAGCGGGAGTAATTGGCGCGTCTCCATTTTCTGCCGCGCTGTCCGCGCCGTTTGTCGCGGCCGACGTCTCCGGTTGATCACCAATGTCTGCATGCTCGTAATCATCATAAACAACGTTAAAAATATCATCGGAAGACGGGTATACCGGCTTGGTGGAGTTCCAATTCCATGACCTTGCTTCTTCAAAGACCACGTCGCGCCTCCTGGCGGGTAAGCACATTGATACGGTGTATCATTACATAAAGGATTGCGTGGAAGAAGGTAAGACGAAGGTCAACTACACTTGCACCGAAGATCAGCTGGCAGACATCGTGACCAAGACTTTGGATCGAGAGAAGTTCTTGAAGATGCGAAGAAGGATCGGCGTCGGTGCTGTGACGTGACGACGTCGTGTTTAGGGGGTGATTGTTGGGATTAAACCCAACGTTCTGTAAGGATACATGTATGTGTACGTCTCCGACTAGTGTAGGGATTAGAGATACCTAGTAGGACTAGTACTAGGCAGGCTAGCAGCTAATATATATACGTGTATCCAGCCCCTGGAAACAATACCGTGAGTTGAAGGAATAAACTCAAGGCTCGATACGAGCCTTTGGCAACCCAGCGTTTCGCGTGCGTGCGTGTATTACGTCCGCCAGAATCGATCAAGTAGATTAGGCTTTGTACGCGCGTGTGGAATTTGCTTCAGCCAGCGGTAGATCAATCAGGCGCACCTGCTTTGCTAGTTGGAGGCTAGCTTTGTATTGCGCTGGGTGGATTGATCGGACGAAGCTAGCTTGCATTGCTTCGTCGTCGTTCGTCGTCGGTTGTATCGCCGTTGCCGGAAGTACTCGGCATCGGGACAGGGCCAACATCATCATCGCCACGAACCGGCAACTAAGCGTGACTCACCCGGTGCACAAGCTCCTACAGCCGCACTACCGTGACATGATGAACATCAACTCGCGGGCGCGTGAGTTGCTCATCAACGCCGGCGGAGTCATCGAGCTGACCGCCTTCCAGCGCAAGTACGCCACGGAGATGTCCTCCGTTACCTACAAGGACTGGAACTTCAACGAGCAGGCCCTCCCCGATGATCTAATCAAAAGGTAAGTAGTTGTTCTGTAGGGTAGGTTAAGTATGTGAAGAACCATTCGTCAGTTAGTGACATGGTACTAATCAATCATGAAATGCAGAGGCATGGCCGTGCCTGACCCATCAAGCCCGCACAAGGTGCGGCTGTTGCTCGAGGACTACCCTTACGCGGTGGACGGGCTGGCTATCTGGACTGTGATCGAGCGGTAGGTGACGGAGTATCTCGCCATCTACTACACCAGCGACAGCGTGCTTCAGGGCGACGTGGAGCTGCAGGCATGGTGGAAGGAAGTTCGCGACGTCGGCCACGGCGACCTCAAGGACGCGGCGTGGTGGCCGGAGATGAAGACGGTGGCAGAGCTGGTCAAGGCATGCACCACCATCATCTGGAGAGGGTCGGCGCTGCACGCCGCTGTAAACTTCGGGCAGTACCCGTACGCAGGTTACCACCCCAACAAGCCGTCAGCAAGCCGTCGTCCGATGCCGGAGCCGGGCACCGAGGAATACGCCATGCTGGCCCGCGAGCCGGAAAAGGTGTTCATCCACACTATCACCAACCAAGTGCAGGCCATAATTGGCATTTCACTGCTGGAGATCCTATCCAAGCACTCCTCGGACGAGATTTACCTCGGGCAACGTGACACGCCGGAGTGGACATCGGACGCCAAGGCTCTGGAGGCGTTCAAGCGGTTTGGCACGAGGCTGGAGGGCATCGAGAGCGAGGTGGTAGCCTTGAACGGGAACCCCCAGCTCAAGAACCGCAATGGCCCGGTCAAGTTCCCATACATGCTGCTTTACCCCAATACCTCTGACCACAATGGCGATGCCACCGGGCTCACGGCCAGGGGCATCCCCAACAGCATCTCCATTTGATGAGATATTTGGAGAAAGGTCGCTGCTTGCTAGCATGCGAAAATGTTGGGGTGCATGCTTCCAGGGTCATTGGTTGAATAATCTATCGTACGCCAGGGCTCATTTGACATCCAAGTGATATGTTCTTGGCTAGGCACTGGTCATGTATCTTCCATATATATATTTCCCTTCCAATTTTATCAATAAAGTGAGTTCTTTGTTTAACCAGGACAGTAGGAAAAATTCCTGCGATAAGTGAAAAGACAGGAAAAAGAGAAGTGAAAAAGTGATAAAAACAAGACACTAAAGTTATTCAGTTTAGCTACATGTAAGTTGCCTGAATTCTAAATTTTGGTCACTCGATTTTCTGGCCGTCCGATTTTGCTTTGTGATTCGCATGTTCTCTTTCTTTTTCATGTCTCTGGTTTTGAGTTGTTTGGGTTGTATTTGATTGACAGACCCCTTGGGTTAGTCGATTTGCTTGTTGGACAAGTTCCCGTACATGCGGCTCTACCCCCAACACCTCCGACCACACGGGTGAGTCTGAGGGGCTCACTGCCAGGGGCATCCCAACAACATCTTCCTCTGAGGAGATATTTGGAGGAAGATTGTTGCTTGCCAGAATGCAAAAATGTTGGGATGCGTGCTTCCAGGATCATTTCTTCAATAATCTATTACACAAGTACTCATTTCACACGCAAGTGTTATGTGCGCGGGTACCCACTGGTTAATGTATCTTCCATTGAATTTTTCCTTCCAAATTATATTAATTAACTGAGTTATGTTTCCTTTAACCGAAACAATAGGGAAATTTCCTACAGCAATTTTATTTCAAAAATGATAAGTAAAATAGACGCACACTATACTAGTGAAACGGGCATTGAAGGTGGTTTCGATACATCGGGCTAAGGCAGTTTCCTTTCTGCCTATAGGAGGATCTCCAACAACTGCCCAAAAACTGCTCCGTGCACTTAAATTCGAATTTTTTGGACGCCGGACAGCTCCAGCAGAAGCTGTAAAATAATGTGCACGTAAAAAAAGGTTGGGCGCGCGCCGAAAAATGCTATCGCATGCTGCAAATTTGAGGCGCCGGATTGTGCGCGCTTCACAATTTACACTACGTGTTCTTTTGGGCGCACGTTTTTTGGCATCTGCTAAAGCAATGTTAGGTCTGACGCCCTAAAAGTGCTACAGTGGCGCGCTAAAACTATTTTAGGGTGCGAAATTTTTGTGCACCTGTTGGAGATGCTCTAAACAGGTGTTGCTAATTAACATGGCTAGAATTGGGGGTGTTGATCTAACTGCATGCAATGATATACCACCGCAAGCGGGTTATTGGGAGAAATGCCTCAAATGCTTGGAACGTTAGAAGTGGCTTCTTATTTGGAACCGCCTCCTATCTAATAACATTACACTCGGTTTCTTCAAAAGAACAACATGTATTTCGTGTTTGAGGGTGGTTTTTTTTCATTTCGGAGGTATTCAAAATACACATTCAATGCATTTTTTTCATAATGCAAATCCACATTCATCTCATAATTGCATTGCGTCATATTCATAAACATTTTTATATATCCAAATGTGTGGGCAACATATATATGCAAGAAACAAAATGCTAGAAGCTAAAATGTATCTAAAGTAAACATATGAAACAAAATTTTGAAATCGGCAATGTGTGGCCACCAACTGGAAGAATAGTCTTAAGCCTGTTAGCTATTAAAAATGACCATCACAGTGTCTGATGAGCAGTTGAGAGTCCAAGTAAGACTCTCAACATCTTGAGTTGCTGGTGAAAGGCAACGACTTTATCATACCTATAACACACAATATCAGTATAAGGATTCAATTTATGTCAAAGTAGCTTACCAAATTGCAAACTTATAGATGATGCAGATGAAACGTCCTCATTGTGATCCTTCTTCTAATCTTCTTGTGCAATTAATGCCACCCAAATAGAGCCATGTCACCGATGTGACATTTTAGTGGCACTACACAGAACACTAAAATGTCGTAATAGTAATGATGTGTACTGCTGTTTCGCGAAAAAGAAACGTCCCCCGAATAGGGGTAATTTCCTAATGCGTAACGGTGATAAAATAAAGTGCGGGCATGCCAGTATACAATAGTATACAAATGAAAGAGACACACAAGATTAGGGAACTCTATATTTCATTAATTCTTTTGGAGAATTACATCAAATGGTTCCCACACAAGTACATCATGTTTCTCTATGCAATCTGACTAAGTTTAGCGACTGTGTAGCTTCAGGTTCCCGGAGCCTCGGAAGACGGTCCGGTTAATTACATCCACAAGATGCATCTTGTAGAAAACCTCCGATTAAGCTGCTCTTGATGGTCGTCGTCTTCAACCTAAAATATTCTCCAAAATATATGTGGCCGAGGTGGCCATGTTGTGAAATGGTAAAGACTTGTCGGTCTTTGGACTAAGATATCCGGCCTCGTCGGCACCTGGTTCATAGCAAAGTCTCAAGGTGAACGTTCGGCCTCATCGGTCACGAACAAAGGGATATCCTGCCTCGTCAGCAAGGACGTATGAGCAACTTCCGGCCTCGTCGGTCACGGAAGGTAGTGGTCTCCTAACCTCGTCGGTCGAGGAGAAAATGTCTAGCCTCGTCGGCCTAGACTAATGAGTTGTTCCAGCCTCGTCGGTCGCGGAAAAGAAATCATGTCATGAGACTTCGTTATGGACACCTAGCCGTGAGGGCCGTCAATGAAGTATCAAGATTTACATGCTAGGCATGTCATCAAATTGAGTAACCATGTTGTTCAAAAAATCACAAAAGATATTTGGATCTGGATATTTAATGTCCAGCACGGGCTAAGCTAATTAGCCCGTGACAAATTATATTGCAATATGTCGTACTGCCTTCTCATCATACAATAAAATGGTGCGCCTTTGCGAGTCCACTTGAGCTGAGTCTTTTATATAAGTATAAATGGACGGATCTGTCACTTGACACTAAATACTTTCAAGCCCAAACTCTCCACGGTCAGGCTAAATGACTGGTCCAATTGTAGTGCAATCAACTCTAAAATTCTGCATAGGAACGATCTGCTCCTAGAGTGATCCGAATCCAAGTTGAACATTCTAGTTCACTCCTCACATATTATGCATGGAAGTGATCAACTATATGAGTGATCTGCCTCTCAAATATTTCTGCTTGGCGACCATGGCAATGATCTGAATCCAAGTCAGGCACCATCTAAACTCCTCCATAAATATTTCTCTACGGATACGGTCTGCTATATGAGAGCGATCCGAATCCAAGCCGAGCACTATTTGATTTTCTTCTCAAATATTTCTGTACGGAAACGATCGACTATGAGAGTGATCCGAATCCAAAATCCGGCACCAGCCACTTGCCACCAAATATATTTTTTTATACGGAAACGATCTGCTATGGGAGCGATCCGAATCCAAGCCATGCACTGGTTGATCTGCCTATCAAACATTTACTACGTGCCGCAACTGGATTGGTAAACCAATCTAAAACAATTCGGGGCAACAAAAGGATTCGGTGTAAACCGATCTTCTAATATGAGGCAACCAGTTATGAGAAAAAGGGACATCAGATCTCACCATTTCTTACCATAAGAGAACACGGCCGTGTCGATGCGGCCGCCGGCCAGGCGAGGTATACTATGGGATTTTGGTGGAGTAGCAGGGCAGAAGTAGTGGGGCTTTATCATCAGGGACTATGCGAGATGTACATGTTCAGGGCTCCATGCATGCGAGCAGCCTGGCGGCGAGCAGCCCGTGTGTGCGTCCTCCCCCCTTGTACATGGGAGGAGATGAGCCTTTTATAGCCAGAGGCTAGGGTACGAAGGAGCAGCTGGTACAGCACGGCCGCCGCCGTTTTTCTGTTGAAGCCGAGCGTGATCCTGCCTACAAACCAGGCGCTTTTGTTTATCCCTCCCGTCGGGTGTGCTGATGTTTATCCTGGCTAATTAAGGATTAATTATGAAAAGTGTACGCGGTTGGACGCTCGCAGCACATGAGTACACGCTCACCTGATCGATCACGTTTGGGGTCGTGTACTAGTGCTACTGTGCGTCTACACCCATCATTATACGTACACTATACATGCCTAGCCACGGCTCTTTGCGCCTGTTGTGCATGCTGGCACATAGGACTAGTAGTTGTACGTGAGGCACAATCCATCCATGTACATGCAACATTGATTAATCATGGGACTTGCTAATAACTAGTGCCTAGCGCACCTATGTGTATTACTAGGCACCACATCCATTGCTTTCTCCTTTCTTTCTTTTTAAATCTTTCTTTTACCAAGGCTAAACACATGGCCTAGCAAAGTGGCCCATGTAAACATACTCAGCCAACTTTATTATGGACGATGACAAAATTTCGTCGAACAACTGCTACCGAAATGTTGCTAATTGTGCATGAAAGATTAAATTCTCTTAAAATATGAGAATGTCCAAAAAATACACAAAATTGGGCATGTAACTAGAAATGATCTCTAACATTAACAGAAACTTGTATTGTGACGGAAAAAGGAAACTACACCCAACATCTCTCAAACCGACACACTTTCCCTTTCGGAAACACTTGTTATAGGAACAATGTTATAGGAACACTTGTGTTGAATTGATCAATATTGATGTTATGCAATTTTGTTTCATATGCTCATCCGTTCGGTTTGTAAACTACATATGTGAAAACATTTGGAACAAACTTTCAAAAATTAACACCAGATTGAAGTGGTCGTGTAATGAGACCATGGCACAATCCATGCGTAGCTCATTTTTGTTCACTTCCTACTATGTCTATATAGTAAATCAGTCTAGCAGCTTGTACGTTCGTGGTACATGCTAATAAATCATGATCTAGCCGCATGTGCTACTGCTGAAATGCTGCTAACTGTGCATTAAGATTAAATTGTCTAAAACTACGAGAATAGCCCAAAAAAATACCCAAAAGTGGGCATGTAACTAGAAATGATGTCTAACATTATCACAAACTTGTATGGTCACAGAAAAATGAAACTACGCCCTACCTCTGTCAAACCGAACGCACTTTTCCCTTCATGGACACACTCATTCATTCGATTTGTAAAAATCATATGTGAAAACATTTGGATAACACTGTCAAAAATTA